TCTAAAGTGTAAATACACTCTAAAAACTGACTGTGGTCTCTCCTTTTTAAAATTCAACCTAATGAAATTGTGCAACATAATCCATTGTTAATTGTTTCTAGATAAAAGGTACATAGTCTCTCTCTTTTCAAATGAGGCCTGATAAAATCATAATCATGATTTAATCCTTTGGGATGCAAAGTGGATCCATTTTACTTCAAGATATTTAAGTTGAAGTTCAAAGTCACCACCCTGCCACAAAGGTGTGATTCGGTCAATGGTCATGAAGCTCAACTGAGCAACTGAATGTCCCAAGGGCACAAAGTTATGGGTGAGTGGCAACTCTACCACTTTTCTTCTAATAAACTAATTATGGCATACTATTCTATCTTTAAAGTGTAACTAAACCCATGACCCTGTATTCACTATATTTGGTCTCCCACAGTACACAGAACATGGAAATGCAATTATTTTAGTAAATATAAACTGCTAAATTCCATTCCTCATCAGCAGTATATAGCAGTCTTGTGACTTCTATCAGTGTCTGGCTAGACACTGGTTAAAGCTTGTAGGAGGAGTGTTCATTCTCTTCTGACTGTCCTATGAGGCTGCATGACCCCTGACCTTCTGTCTGGACAGTGCTGATTGGCTCTGTGCCAATCACATGCACCCTCCCCCCCCAAAAAACATCCAGCAATACACACCAACCTGAGCATGTGCAGAGTCCTAGGACTCTGTACTATCAGCAGATGGATTGGGGACTGTGGAAGAAAGGGAAGATCAGAGTAGACAGGATCAAACAGCCTTTTTACACAATGTGAAGGATTAATCCCTTAGGTTCCATAGTGAGTATAACATGCATGCTTTACTGCACATACAGACTGATTTTTACTGTTGTGGGTTTAGTAACACTTTAAGTTTTTGAGTGGTCTCACTGATAACATTAGAAACCACATGGACATTTAATGAGGTTTACCACATAAGAACTTTGAGATGTCAGGTATATTTTAATCCCAATCTAATAACATTGATGTGGATAATTAAAGCTCGAGCCTTTAAGCACTGAATTCATAATAGGGGAGGACCCTGTCCTCCTAGAGCCTAAAACAGACATGTCCTTCACTGTCAAGATCTTATCAACCGATATGAAAAGATTGCATTGGGTGCTTAGAGAACTCAGGAATCACAAGATAATTATCTCTTAAACTATGCCAGTTAAGCCCAATACAAGCAGAGTTCTTCTTAGAGCAGGTGCTATACTAAGAGACAAAAGGAACCCATGACCACCCTCCTTTCGTACAAACAACTTTTAACAACTAAAAACCTTGAGTTTGCATGTATTGAATTTCCATATTCAGAGAACATGTGGGATAACCCCATACAAACAATAAAATTTAATCTCTCTTCTTTTTCTTTCATCACGTGTGATGGGATCAGGGACAATTCTTGCCATTCTTCTGCTCGGGATATGAATTTAAAGTGGTTCTAATGGCATAAGGTTATCTATTTTAATGCATTCTCTGCATTAGTGTAAAAAAAGGTGCTGTGTGCAGTACCCCGGTCCTGCAAACGGTTTGCTATGGGAGGAACCAGGAACACCAGGGGGGGAGCCGAAAAGAGGAGGATTAGGGCTGCTCTGTGCATGGGGTAAATAACTATACCATGTTTGTTATTTAAAAATGCTGTTTTTCAGCATGAAAACTAGTATAATGCAATAACTGAATCCTGTCTTCTGTTTCTTATGTATAAATCACTTATCAATATCTGATCACAAATACAAATTTGAGTATTCAAAAAGGGAATATCGTTACAACCAAAATGATTGTTAAAGAATAAACATTGTACTATTTTATTAATTGCTCATGGAATTGTATTAAAGATGTTTTATCTCTTTTTGACATCGCAAAGACATTGTTCATATAGCAATCCCAGGTTCAAATAAAATAGCCCATAAGGGTAGATGAAATGTTATTCCACCCATTCCATGAGAACTACTGCATACAGAGGAGCTGCATAAGTGTCCATCATAGCTCCCCATATTTGTAAGTAGTATTCGTTGTTAAAAATAAAATGTTATTTTCAAGCTGTGGCAATAATAGAATAAATTTACATTGAACCTAAGTGAATAAATCAGACCCCTTAAGCAATCCCTCACTTGCAATACTCCCTAGTTGATGGTCAATAGAAGTATACGCTATAGTGCCTAAAGTATTGGGACACCCCTCAAAATCATTGGATTTAGGTGTTCTGATCACTTCCATGGCCAAATCAAGCATGCAGACTGCTTCTACAAACATTTTGAAAGAATGGGTTGCTCTCAGAAGCTCAGTGAATTCAAGCATGGTACTGTGATAGGCTGCCACCTGTGCAATAAGTCCATCCCTGAAATTTCCCTGCTACTAAATATTTCACAGTCAAATGTTAGTGGTATTATAACAAAGTGGAAGCAACTGGGAACAACAGCAACTCAGCCATGAAGTGGTAGGCCACGTAAAATGACAGAGCGTGGTCAACACATGTGAAGTGCACAGTGCACAGAAGTCACTAACTGTCTGCAGAGTCAATAGCTAAAGATCTCCAAACTTTGTGTGGTCTTCAGATTAGCACAACAGTGTGTAGAGAGCTTCATGGAATGGGTTTCCATGGCCGAGCAGCTGCATCCAAGCCTTACATCACCAAGTGCAATGCAAAGCATCAGTGCAGTGATGGTGTAAAGCATGCCACTACTGGACTCTAGAGCAGTGGAGACATGTTCTCTGGAGTGGCGAATCACGCTTCTTTGTCTGACAATTCGATGGACATGTCTGGGTTTGGTAGTTGCCAGGAGAACGGTACTTACCTGACTGGATTGTGCCAAGTGTAAAGTTTGGTGGAGGGTGGATTATGGTGTGGGATTGTATTTCAGGGGTTGGGCTTGGCTCTTTAGTTCCAGTGAAGAGAACTCTTAAGGCATCAACATACCAAGACATTTTGGACAATTTCATGCTCCCAAGTTTGTGGGAGCAGTTTCAGGATGGCCCCTTCCTGTTCCAACATGACTGTGCACCAGTGCACAAAGCAAGGTCCATAAAGACATGGATGAGCGAGTTTGGGGTTGAGGAACTTGACTGGCCTGCACAGAGTCCTGACCTTAACCTGATAAAACACCTTTGGGATGAATAGGAGCAGAGACTGCTTAGACCTCACAAATGCGCTTCTGGAAGAATGGTCAAACATTCCCATAGACACTTTCAATACTAGTGATTATTAGCGGTGCATTATGTATCTATAACACATTAAATCCTATTGTCAATTTCAGTGCATAATTCCTTGTCTTCATTGCTACTCCCACAATGCAAACATATTGTGCACAAAATATATTAAAATCCTAAAAAATAGTACAACAAATTATGTGACATCAAATTATATGTGACATCAAATTATATTTCCCAAATGAAACACCATAAATCATAAGTCCCGTGAAAAAATATTAATAATAAAAATATATGAAAAAGTCCAAAAAAATCTTCCACTATGTGAGTCCTCTGTTAATGTGATTCCCAGTGAAAAATCTATTAAACCACGGGCTGTGCCCTTCATACACCCCCTCTCAGGTGTGCACTCACCAGAACATAGCCTTTAATTAGCTTTGTTACATAGATTCGAGATACTAGAACCACCAGAAAACAGCCTTTATTCCACCTTGTTACATAGCTTCCAAATGTTGAGACCAGGAGGTTCCTCCAATAATCACCCATGATATGAATGGTAGCCAGGATCATAATATATACTCCTCTCCATAGTTACGTAGAAAGAGAAAAAATTTGCTCCAGTCGTGTATTACCAAAGGTAAACAACTGTAGCCTTCCTAGCGGTCTGATTATGTCCATATTTCTGTGCTCAAAGCGGTACATTTTTTTGCATGGAAATATGTATTTTTTTTATTGTAGGCCTGTACTTTTTAGGAATAACTCATTGAAATCTGTCTAAACAAGAGTCTATTAAACATTCCGGGTATGTTAAAATTTGAAACACGAAATCATAAATTATAATTTAATAAATAATCATAAAAAATAATAATAATACATTTAATTAAATAATATAATCAAACCAAAAACACTGAAATTTGAAATATAGCACCAAGTTCGCACATCACTGAGCAAAGTCACAAAATCATTTTCAGTGTCTGATGACGAATTTCCCCACGAATCATTATCACTCAATTCTGCAAGTGATTCTAATTTACTATCGCTGTTCTCTAGCTGGTCTAAAACCGCTTTTGACCTAAAGGGACACTTTTTGGACACCATGGACATTTCTCAGTTTCCAGGCAGAAAGAACAGTAACAATGCAGGCAGGGCATAGGACAAAGCACTAAAGACAAAATGTATGTGAAATGGTTTGATACAGTAATGTTTTACTATGTGATTTTAGTGAATGTCACTTTTACAACTTTCAAATTTCCCGCCAGTTACGTCCCCTGTACGTCCCAACGTCACAGGGAACGGAACCCAGAAGACAGATGCCGGCATCCGCCGGAGGACATTGCCGGGGACACTGCAGGAGGGACATCGCGGGAGCACAGGACAAGTTAAGTGAAGAAGAGATCCCGGAGCAGCTCTGCAGGGTATTCCCAAGTGTAGCTTGGGGTTACTGCTTGTAGTGCTGAAACTTTACCCCGAGCTACACTCGGGAATACCGCCAGGAAGGTTAATAAGCCAAAATATTGCACTTACAGCAATCAAAAATTAGTTAAGCCATTAACCACCTCCCGCCGCCATATAGTACAAAGACGGGCACAAGGTGGTTCTCTCGTTCTGGAAGGATGTCATATGCCGTCGGCCCATTCTAACCCACGCACACGCGGCTCTGGGAGCGCACAGCACGGCAATCGGTGGTGCACTGTGTCCCTCGGACACAGCGGATCACCAATCAACGGAAAGAGCCGAAGATGTCGGCTCGGTCATGTGATCAGCTGTGTCCAATCACAGCTGATCACATGTAAATAGGGAAATGCTGGTTATCTGCATTTCTCTCCTCATGAGCTGTCACGCTGAGAGCCGGTAATCAGCATCCCTCAGAGGGGACATGTGCACTGATCATCAGGGTACTGATGATCAGTGTGCCCTGATGATTTGTGTAGCCCCAGCAGTGCCACCTGTCAGTGTCCATCAGTGCCAGCTGTAAGTGCTCATCCATGCCACCTGCCAGTGCCCATCAATGCCACATATCAGTGCCAGTCTATCAGTGCCAGTCAGTGCCGTCTATCAGTGCTGCCTATCAGTGCCCATCAGTGATGCCTGTCAATGCCCATCAATGCCACCTACCAGTGACTCCTCATCAGTGCCACCTATCAGTGTCCGTCAGTGCAGCCTATCAGTGCCCATCACTGCAGCCTTATTAGCGTACATCAGTGAAGGAGAAAAATCACTTATTTACAAAATTTTATAACAAAAACTAAGAAAAACATTTTCAAAAAAATTTCAGTGGTTTTTGGTTTGTTTAAGAAAAAATTAAAAACCCAGAGGTGATTAAATACCACCAAAATACCACCAAAACAAGGCTAATTAAAGGTTATGTTCTGGTGAGTGCACACCTGAGAGGGGGTGTATGAAGGGCACAGCACGTAGTTTAATAGATTTTGCACTAGGAATCACATTAATAGAGGACTCACATTGTGGAAGATTTTTTTGGACTTTTTAATATATTTTTATTATTAATATTTTTTCACGGGACTTATGATTTATGGTGTTTAATTTGGGCACTATAATTTGATGTCACATATAATTTGATGTCACATATAATTTGTAATATTTTTTAGGATTTTAATATATTTTGTGCACAATATGTTTGCATTGTGGGAGTAGCAATAAAGACAAGGAATTATGCACTCAGATTGACAATAGGATTTAATGTGTTATAGATACATAATGCACCGCTAATAATCACTAGTATTGAAGGTGGTAATATTTGAAGCAAGTTTTACATAATATTTAAAGTGGCACTAATTGGATATAATAATATTTAAAGAGCATCATTTGGTGCGATTTAGTGATCATATAACTATACTTTCTTGGGTCACTTTATAAATTAATTCCCATAGACACACTCCTAAACCTTGTGGACAGCCTTCCCAGAAGAGTTGAAGCTGTTATTGGTGGGCCAATTCAATATTGAACCCTACAGACTAAGACTGGAATGCCATAGTTCATGTGCATGTAAAGGCAGCTGTCCCAATACTTTTGGTAATATAATTTATCTCAGGGTCCTGTAAATAATATATTTTTTATTTTTTTAACAGAAGGAATTTTATTATTATGGACATGTGAATCACAGTAACATTACAACAAAAAGGGAGCACAAGTTTCAGAAAGAGACTCATAAAACAGAGATTGCCTACAACAGCCAGTCAATTGCAGATCATGGAGGAGGAACAAACAGCACATTGCAAACCAGAACGGTACAACCAGGGCAACACCCATTCTCCCTGTTCCAAGCTTCCAGCAAGAAAAGAAAGGGGTACAGGAGGGAGAAAAGAGAGGGGAAGGGGAGGGGGGGGGGAAGGAGGAAATAGAGAGTAAGGAAAAGGGAGAGACAAATGGCAGGGAGAGTAGGGTGAACAAGAAGCAAGGTGTAAATCTAGGGAGTGCCTACATTCAGAAGTGTCATGAAAGGGTATCTGAGATAAGAGGAAAACAAACAACCAAAGGGGAGATAACAGTCAAGTAAAGTATCATATTGTGAGGTGTCTAGCTTCAACCCAGGATGACCAAATCTTGCTAAACTTTTTTAGGGCAGTTACCTCCCATATAGGTCAACTTGTACATGGGCAAAGTGGCATTGCTCATGAAGCACCATGAAGAGACTGTTGGAGGTTCTGACAATTTCCACTTCCATAGTAAACTGCATAGAAAACAAACAATTTAGTGCGGGTGGTGGTGGGCAGGTTATCAGTTACACCCAATAATAAGATCAGGGGATCCATTGCTATGTTAAAGCCACTAATCACATCAATGTCAGCCACCACTGTCTGCCAAAAGGTCCAGAGTAGTGAGCAGGAACATACCATGTGTATAAAATTTCCCACCTCTAGACGGCATTTAGGACAGACTTCATCATCGGTGCAGTAAATGACTGACAGTTTCTTTGGTGTATAGTACACCCTATGAAACAATTTTAATGGTACAAATCTATATTTAGCTGAAATCATAAGGGGAATATATTGTTGAAGGCCCTTGGTCCAATCCTCCTCAGTTAAATTTCTCTTTGCCAGGCAAGGTAGGTTCGCGACGTGCCAGAGGTACCCTTGCAGGTCAGCCTAAGATAAATAGAAGACAGAGGTCTATCTATATTATGTGTCATCAGGAGCTTTTCAAATGAGTGGGAAGCCAGGGTTATGGGATCAGGGAACTGTGTGCGTACTGCATGCCTGAGCTGTAGGTACCTGAAGTACATCCAGGGAGGGAGGTGAAAATAATGTTTTATCTCTATAAAGAGAAGATGTCCCTCAGGCATAATATGCCGCAGAGTCCTAATGTCTTAGGAGGCCCAAATCTGTGGGTCTGGTACCGACTGCAGATGAGTCAGGGATGGGTTGTCCCATAGAGGAGTATGAGGGGAAACAGTTTGGGGCACACTAAGAAGTGTGGTAACCTGCTTCCAGATTCTAATCATAGTTGCTATTGGCAGAGTAATATATGAGTTAGCACGTGGGCCTCTGTATACCAGGTTGCTAAGTACTGAATAAGACCCAAGAAGGGACACCTCCAAATTCACCACAGATTTCAGTGATCCTTGGCAAACCACCATCGTACAGATACCAAGACCGCAGCCCAATAATATTTCCTAAAACATGGCAAGGCTAGGCCTCCTTCAGTCAAAGGAGCTGCAAGGTGGACTCTGGGAACAGCTACTCTGGGAAAAGAGCCCGCTCAAATAAAATAAGTAATGCCACAGCCATGCAAAGCAGTGTGCAGGAGCTGACAGGGGGGAAAACTGTTGTCTACTAACAGTTCTCCCTCCCGTCAGAGATCCTCGGCAATCACTGGGTGCCGGCAAGTAATCACCGGCTGGGACCCGGTGATTGCCAGCCGTGGCTGCGAATGGCGGCGCGAGTAAGGTGCGTGCTCCCCCTACCTGGAAACGCAAAATCATGTATATATAAGTGATTTTGTGCACTGCTGCTGCCCTGTAGCAGTATTTCTCCTATGGAGTGGTGCTAAAGAGGTTAAGAAAAAAAGTATTAGAGGTAGGTACAGGGTATGTTTACAAATATACAACAATTTAGGGATTAAAGTAATTTTAATCAGATTCACCCTACCCACTGGAGTTAGAGGGAGTGTTTTCCAGGCAGAGCACCTCTGCCAAAATTGTTGAAAGATTGGGTTTAAGTTATTCTCTACGTACGATTTCAGATCTGCCTGCACATAAACACACAAATATTTAAATTGAGCCACCCAGGTAAAGGGGGTCAGGCAGATTCGCAGGGGGCACTCCTTAGGTCAGAGGGAACAATACTGATTTATCACAATTTATCCTAATACCAGAAAGTGAGCCAAAATGATTTACAATGCCCAAAGCAGCTGCAAGAGACTGATGGGCATCATTTAGATACAGGAGAGTATTGTCAGCATATAAGGACACTTTCTCCATCAATGGTGGTATTGATAGTCCTTGAACTGAAGAAAAAGCCTGCAGCATTATTGCCAGAGGCTCTATAGCTAGGGCAAAGAGGGGAAATGATGCAGACAAGATACCACTGGTACAGACCCTAGCTGTTGGAGCTGAGTAAAGAAGTTTCAGCCATGATATAAATTTGCTCACCAGCCACAAAAAAACCCACTCCACCAAGTCAAAAGCTTTCTCAGCATCAAGGGAGGCCACCATCTCTGAGTCTTCCATCCCAACAGTGTGAGAAATGATGGTGAACAACCTCTGTAGGTTAATATCAGTGCCCTTACCTGGCATAAACCCTATCTGGCCCCTATGCACCAAAGAGAGGATTACCTTATTCAGATGGGTGGCCAAGAGTTTGGTAAGGATCTTGGCATCCACATTTAAAAGTGAAATGGGCCTGTAAGAAGAACAGAGTTCTGGGTCCTTGCCTGGCTTAGGAAAAGGGAAGAAAATGGGAAAAAATAAAAAGAAGAAATCTTTAAGAGAAAAACCCAAAGGAAAAAGAATAAAAAAAGAGTAAAAAAGAAAAATCAAAAAAAAAAAAAAAGAAAAAAAAAAACAAAAAATAGTTAGAAAGGGAAGCAAAAATTCAGAAAAAAAATTAAAAAAATTAGAGGAGAAAGTTTTTAAAACAGAAACTCTAAGAAGTGTAAAAAAAAAGCCCCCCCTGTAGATTAAAATAAAGAAAGAATAAATAAATAAGGTAAAAGAGAAAAAGTGCTTGAAAAGAGTGTGGAAAAAATATTAAAGAAAGGGAATTTTAAAAAAAAAAATGAAAAAGGGAAAAAATTGAAAAAAAAAAAGAAAGAGTCAAGAAAAAGAAAAAAGGGGTGAAAGAATTTAAGAAGAAGATAAAAAAAAAGAGAAAAATAAGAAAATAAAAGAGTAAAAAATAAAAGATTTAAAAGAAGGGGAAGAATAAAAAAAAGAGAGAATAAAAAAAAGGAAAAAGAAATGAAAGAAAAAAGAGGTAAAAAAAAAAGAAAAGAAAAAGAGAGAAAAACTTCATTTGATGAAAATAAGTAAAAAAAGAAAAGAAAAAAAAAAAAGAAAAAGGAGAAAAAAAAAGAAAAAATTGGAAAATGAAAAAGCAAGAAAGAAGAAGAAAAAAAGAGGAAAAAAGTTAAAAAAGAAAGAAAAAAAAAAGAAAAAAAAAAAGAAAAAAGAAAAAAAAAGGAAGAATAAGATAAAAAAGAAAAGAAAAAGAAGAAAAAAAAAAAGAGAAAGAAAAAAAGAAAAGAAAAAAAAAGAAAAAAAAAAAAAGAAAAAAAGAAAAGAAAAAAAAGAAGGAAAAAGAAAAAAAAGGAAGAGAAGAAGAAAAAAAGAAAAAGAAAGAGAAAAAAAAAGAAAAGAAAAAAAAAAGAAGAAAAGAAAAATAAAGAAAAAAAAAGGAAAAGAAAAAAAAAAAATAAAAAAAAGAAGAAAAAATAATGAAAAAAAAAAAATGAAGAGAAAAGATAAAAAAAAAAAAAAGAAAGAAAAAAAAAAGAAAAAGAAAAGAAAAAAAAAAAAAAGAAAGAAAAAAAAAAAAGAAAAAAAAAAAAGAGAAAAAAATGGGAAGAAAAGGAAAAAGAAAAAGAAAAAGAAAAAAAGAAAAAAAAGAAAAGGAGAAAAAAAAAATAAAAAAAAAAAAAAAAAGAAAAAAAAAAAAAAAAAAAAAAAAAAAAA